AAAGACACAGTAAAAAAAAAAAAAACTCAGCTATAATACAGTCGAAACGTACAGAGGGATTGACAAAAGCACTTTCAAACCCCTCTCCTATATCGCCAGGATTCCACAAAGCCGACGACTGCGCCACCCGAGTGTGCAAGTTCCAGGGTGCTATCGGTTACCACAGCTACCCGTACACACAGACCATGTTCCTCTACTGCGCTGCAGGCCAGGTCTCATACGTGGTCACGTGTCCAAAGGGATTCGGATATTCGGATTCACTTCAAGGATGCTTCGTGCCTGTAAGCAGGGATGAGCCTCAGTCACATGAACTCGATCCGCATGGTGGGATTGCATCCGGTCGGGTCGGATCGGGTCGGATCGGATCGGATTGGGTTGAATCGAGACGGGTAATACCAAGTGCACGTTGCCAAATGTATTTTTTTTAAAATTCAGTTGTGGCCAGCAATATTTTCTTTCCTCTAGGGGAAAACCCCCCACAATTTTGGCACAATATAATCATTTAAATTCTTGATTTTAGAATAGCAACGGGTTTGATTGTAAAAATTGCACTCAAATATATTTTAATTTGGTCGTATTGAGCCAAAATGGTAGGTCTTGTACTATCCATGAATGAAAATATGGCTATTTCTGACTCAATCAAATGAATCCAATTGGCAGTGAGCACTAGGTATAATAGAGCTGGTCTGTGCATGGTATATTAAATACACTTTTGTTTGGCTTAATGAACAGATCAGCCGAAGCCCACTACCAGATTTATTTCTCTTGAAACATATTGTCTAGCACGCACATAGCGAACAGGCACACAGCTAAATGCGCACATTGCGAATACATTTTTTTAATCCCAAATTTTGTTTTTTCATTTACATAATATAGTAACTGAACATAGCGAATTTCAGACACAGCCTAATGATTTCCACGTTCGGTTGATTTTGTTATGTGCGTGCTAAACTGTATTTGACTCATTAAAATCATGTGACCCGTTATAGACTATGATTTGTCTTGCGCCGCCATTTTCATAAAAGTAAAGCTAAAGGGTAAAAGTCGATTTTTAAAAATACGAAAAATAAACTACTCCCAATTGTATTACAATTGAGGCAAAAGCACACCACTTGAATGGCTTCACGTGATAGTTTTCTAAACATAAAAGGCTCCCATAAAAATAATAGATCTCTATTTTTTAATCCCTTTACCTGCAATGTAAATTAGTTGTTCTTTCTATCTATCTATCTATCTATCTATCTATCTATCTATCTATCTATCTATCTATCT